GCTTTGACAACACGTGGTAGCTCCTCCCTTGACCGTAAGTCAGAGAACACAGGTGAGTGGCAGCACCCTGTCAACCAAGGCAGTTCGCCACTGAACAAATAGAGTCAAAAGATTGCATTTGCCAAGTCGCCAACCACTGGCCAGTCTTTGCCGTTTCTTGGCAGCCTGGTACTGCCGTTGAACGGAAATCAGACGGCTGGAGTCTGAGACTGCTCCGCCAAACTTGGATTTGGCCCAGCAGCATCTCTACCTGGACTTGGCAACTTGAGTGTGTACTTGTTTGAGGGCAATGCACTGACCAGAGATGCTGCGGCAAAAGACGTTTAAAATTAGCCAGGCCAGCAACTTTCCCTGCCGAAACTCCAGCAAGCATTGCCTAAGCTTTCCGAGTGCCGAGCAAAAGAAAGAATTAGACTAAACAAAGGAAGGTCTGCCGTAGGTGTGCCTTTCAGATTAAGATGCCCCAGTCCATGGTGCAGAATCAACACCAGCAAGGGAGCTAATGGTATGTATGAGAAACGGACGGGCACAAAAGCAAACTCCAGTTCACACACAGGAGGCTTGAATCTTCGGGACTTCAGCACTCGGCCTGATGCAAGCTGTCACAACTCGGCAAGTAGGCTGGCCGCCGATCCGTCGATCCATCGATCCGTCGATCCACGTGCCTTGCTCACAGCCCGAAACTCTACTTGGATGCTGAATCATTCACCTAACGCGGTGGCTTCACGACTGAATTCGATCTACACCCGCATCCAAAGTGCGTTCGTCTCTAGGAGAGAGACGAGCCGAGAAGTGAGTGGAGCGTGGCCGAAAGGCTCTCCCCTCGGGGAATGAAAGCCAAGACGGCACAGCTGAAAACTTTGGGGCCTCAAGGCCATGGTCAGATCTAAAGCAGCGCGCCCTGTCAGCCAGATCCCTGCGCTGCCGTGCAGCCGAAGCAATGGGCGGCCGTCTTGATCGCCTGGAACACACTTGGCAAGCGGCAAGGCCGATTCTGTGAAACGACAAGCGAGCCAGAGTCAACATCTGGTGACATGGTCTACCCAAATGTAATCCGCACCTATTTCTGGGACTGCCGCTTGCTAACCTTGATCTTGCCGGGTTTTGAGCACGTGGCTCAGTCGTCACATGCACAATCAAAAGCACAATCAAAAGAGGGCATTGAGTGCCGACATCCAGCGAGTTGGTCAGCAGTTGTCAAAGGCAAGACGTGATGGGTTTGTGCCAAAAAATATGTGTGACTCCCCCAAATGGTGGTTCTCCTTTTGCTTTCCCTTAAAGATTACCCCCAACAAGTGTACCCTGAAACCAAAGAGCCCAAATTCAGAACCTCGGGATCCTCAAGTCTGGGCAGCCGACCGCTTGCTGCAGCCTCTCATCATTCAAACAACTCACGTCGAAGACGTTCAGGCCACCAGCGACACCCAGCTCTAGCTGCTGGTTGAAGTCGCAGTCAAACCTCCAGAAAAGTATCCATGTGGGTATGGGGCAAAACTAAAACAACAAGGGACCGCAGGTTTCAGTGGTTCTTTCCACTTGCCAGGTTCCGTTCTGAGTGTTTTCTTTAGCAATAACACCCATGTGTTTGAAAGGTGCTAGAAAGGATTGACTGAGATGATGTTGAATACATCCCCGGCTGAGATGCCGGAAGTGGTCGAAGAACAGCAAGGGAAGGGACATTCAGTTGTTCCGCCTAGGAAGCTGTAGTGACTCCTGCTACATGCATTCAACATGCAAGCAGGCACAACAACGCTGTTTGCATGCCTTGTGCGTGCATGAAGAAGGCGTTTGCTGAAAATGCTGCAACATGCTGCTAAATGCATGAGTTGCTTGAGTGCTGGTGATGCAGTGTTTGCTTGCTGGGGGCATACACTTGCGTTCTTGTGTTTGCTAGCAATTTGCATTTATGCATGCATTGGTTGTGGATTTTTTGTTTTTGAGGCAATGATTCAGTCACTCTTGCTCCCCAGAATGCAACATTAAGAAAAGAGGGAACAAATCATACCCAAAGCAGCAAAGGAAATGGCACAGAACAAAACAGCACACAGTATGCATTGCACACAAAAGCTACACACAAAAGGCCCAGAACAATACAGCACGCACATGTTGCATGCTTTTTGCATGCGTCGTGTTTGCCCACAATGCTGCAAGACTCTTGCTACATGCATGCAAAATGCAAGCAAGCGCCACAACGCAGTTTGCATGCCTTGTGCATGCATTCAGTAAGCGTTTGCCCAAAATGCTTCAAAATTATTGCCAGATGCATGCAAAATGCAAGCAAGCACCACAATGCAGTTTGCATGCCTTGTGCATGCATGAATATGCCAAAAATGCATAACTAATGCATGCAAGATACATATGCAGACAACATCCCCCCAAAAAAGGCAACATGTCCTGGCCAATGCATGCAAACGGCAGGCCAAAATACACACAGAAGGTACAGAACAAGACAGCACGCATTTTGCATGCGTAGTCTTTGCCCAAAATGCTCCAGAACTCATGCAAAATACATGCAACATGTAAGCAACCACATAAGGCACAGAACAATACAGCATGTACTTTTCCCTGCCTTTTGCAAGACAACGAGACAGAACTGCATGCCAAAACACAGCCTTGGGCATGCATATAGTATGCCCAAATATGCATAACCAATGCATGCGAAATACACATGCATACACCGTCCCAAAAAGAAAGGCAACATGTCCCACCCGATGCACGCAAAGAAATCCGAACAGAACGGCATGTCAAAATGCACACAAAAGGCACAGAACAAGACAGCACGCATTTTGCATGCGTAATCTTTGCCCAAAATGCTCCAATACTCATGCAGCATACGTGCAAAATGTAAGCAACCACAGTAGCGATTTGCATGCCTCGTGCATGCATGAAGTATGCCCAAAAATGCATAACCAGTGCATGCAAAACAACATAAATGCAAAATGCTAGCATACACGAGCACGCAAGTGTATGCTGCATGCCAATCTGCACACAGCCTTGTGCATGCATGAATTATTCTCAAAAATGCAAAGCCACTGCATGCAAAATACACATGCATGCAACATCCCAAAAAGAAAGGCATGTCCTACCCAATGCACGCACAAAAAGGTCCAAACAGAACGGCATCCAAAATGCACACAGAACGCACAGAACAAGACAGCACCTATTTTGCATGCGTAATCTTTGCCCTAAATGCTTCAGAAAATATGTAATACACATGTAAAATGCGAGAAGACACAGTAGCGATATTGCAGCCAAAAAGTGCATGACCAACGCATGCCAAACAACAAATGCAAAATGCTAGCAAACATAAGAACGCAAGTGTATGCTGCATGCCAAGCTGCACACAGCCTGGTGCGTGCGTGAACTATGCCCAAAAATGCACAACCACTGCATGCAAAATACACATGCATGCGACATCCCAGAAAGAAAGGCATCATGTCCTGCCCAATGCACGCACAAAAAAGTCCAAACAGAACGGCATGCCAAAAAGCATTCATAAGGCACAGAACAAGACAGCACCTATTTTGCATGCGTAATCTTTGCCCTAAATGCTTCAGAAAATATCTGTATGCTGTCTCTTTCCGTTGTGCAGCATTTCGGGCAAACACTACGCGTGCAACAAGCATGCAACATGCGTGCTGTATTGTTCTGGGCCTTTTGTGTGTATCTTTTGTGTGCAATGCATGTGTGCTGTTTTGCTCTGTACCTTCTGTGTGCATTTTGACATGCAGTTCTGTTTGGATTTTCTTTCCTGTATTTGTTATGATTTGTTCCCTCTTTTTTTAATGTTGCATTCTGGGGAACAAGAGTGACCGAATCATTGCCTCAAAAGCAAAAAACATAACCAATGAATGCAAAACAACATAAATGCAAAATGCCAGCAAACACAAGAACGCAAGCCAACAGCACAACACAGCATCACCAGCATGCCCAGCATCATCTGCAATAGGCCTGCGACAGCATCCACAGCAAGCACATCCTAACATCATTGGCATACCTAACATCACCAGCATTATCTGCAACGGTGCTCGCCCCAACCATGCCAAAAACGGCAACAAACAGGAAACAACAACTCAGAATGTCAAGCACAAATCCAGCGACAAAGTCGCTTTCTCATCACTTCTTGTTGCTAAAGTGCTAGCATCTTATCATGTGCTCCAACAGGATGATACCAAATGAGGCCATCACGCAGATGCTGTAGAACAGGCAAACTGTCGTCTACACTTGCAGCACCCCCTAAACCCCAAGTCTATGTAAGGGGCAACTACGAGTGCATACCTGGGCTGTCCAGTTTCCACTAACCCTAAAAAGCTAAAAGCCCGAGGGGGTGGCTGGGAGCCACCAAGAAACAAACTATATAATTTTATCTCATATGGTCATTAAGAAACACGGCGCGAGCTTGTAGTGTGCCCTGACAACAGCACCTTGCGAGCAAGATGCTTGGGCAGCTGGACCACACAAAGCCAGCGTGAAAATGACAGGGTCAACACCAAAGAGCTCACAAGAAGTTCCTGTCAGCAACAGTTAAAGTAATGTTTAGCCTGTGCGATCTCAAGAACAAGCAAGCTAGCCTTCAATTCTCTGCTGAGAGGCATCTGGCCATTCCAGCCGACGTTGATGGTGTTGGTGCACATGACTTCAGGTACTGTGTCCTCGTTGAAGTTACGAACCAGCAAATCCTTGGTCTGCACAGCCAAACAAAAGCCCCTACCCTTACGGCACACAAATTCGGACAGGATCAAATATCCTCCCCTCAAGATGGTGATGTGAGTGCATTCAAGCTGCCATGTAGCTTTCCAAATGACCTGCAAGAGAATCATTTGCAGGAAGAACTGACAACAATGCTCCTCTTTGGTTTGCCAAATCTATCTTGTGCTTCATGCACCAAGTGTGCAAAAAAAAAAAGCCAGCTGTCGAAAGACGCGCATACAGCTGCATTGCTGCTGGCGCCTTTCTTCCGAAGGAAGTCAAAGTACCGCTTGATCGGCATGTTGCAGATC